GCTTAGATATTCAATTGGAGGAAGCATATCAAAAAAATGAAATAAAATTTGAAAGTATTTAATTAGGGTAAACAAATTATGCATTTGAATTAGGTTACCTTAAGTTCATTCCAAAACCAGGAAATAAATGGTCAAGCTCCCTCTCGACGTTCTCGGATCTCTTCTTCGGCCGCCTCTTCGGTTTCACGCCGGAAACCGCCAGAATATCCGCTTCTATCTCATCTTGAGAAAGCGCAAAGGAAAAACGTCTTCTCTTTTTATTTTTATTTGCCTTTGCGGTTACTTTCGGTATCTCTGGAACAAAACCTAACTGAGTCGACTCGGGTGGATTCTGTTGTCGAGTCGCCTGTACCTCAACCACCTCCAGCGACGCTACTTTACGGTTCGCCACTTCTCCAGGGACTAAGGCGCCGGCATCATCAGGACTAGTTTTCTCAAATTGGAACCGCAACAACATCTTCTGTTTACCGCCTGGAGGTTCCTCTGTCTTCTCATCGGAAGTCAGAGAGGGGAAATAAGCTTCTTCCGGAGGGCGATCGGAGAGGCGGCAATGACGGCAATGATTGTAGCAGGGCGGGAATTGAAAAGGAAAATCAGAAGTCATTAATGCCAAACGGAAGAGAGAATTTTTTTTCCCTTTTTTTTCCTTTGGGATTGAGAGACAATTGTTGGTGAAGGGATTTTTCATAAGAAAATGCGTTGGAATGGCGATCTACCGATTTTTCTTCCTAGTACGTTCTAAACTCGAAATAAAGAAAACTCCATTTAAAAAAAAAAAAAAAAGGGGAAATGGAGATGATATAAAGTCCAAACAAGATTCAAACTCTGAGGTCTAATAGGTGATGGGCCAGGAACCAGGGGGTCCAATTTGGCCCATCTAGCCGAAGTCGTTTTTTTGGCCGGGTCCAGCCAATGTTTGACCGGTTCCATTAGAAATACAAATTTTATATTTTTTCTATTTGAAGATTTATTATATGTTGATATATTTATATTCACCTAAAAAATGACAATTTTAATAAAAAAAAGAAAGATAAAAATTTATATATATATATATATATATATATATACTTTATATCTTCATTGGGGAAAAAAAAGGTTCATTTTCAATTAGATAAGTTGGTGCTCAATCATCTTGTTGGATTTCACCTTGTATATTAAATGCCCACAGAAACAAAATTGAAAATACCACCATGCTTCTTGAAGGGTCATTATCTTCAAACTTTGACCCAAATTTATTATGATCTGGCGTCTTCTCGAGGCTTCATCAATGTTTTATCCTTACTTCCAATCTATATATATATTTATTAATCTATCTATCTATCTTGAATTTCTGGGAAGCAATTCAATGAACATCACGAACACTGCTAAAAACTATCAGATATGGTTCAGAGACTGCCAAATTAATAGAACAACAACTGCCCAATTGAAACCTCACAAATGTGTGATAGAATCTTGAGTACAGAAACGAGACTATAAATTGTCAAAAACCCTCTGAAGAAGGGTTGAGAATGACAGGAAATCAATTAAGTCTCTATATATAATTCTATAACGTAAGAAAGACAACAAATGCACCACACAAGTACCAAACAAATTATAAAACATTAAGAAACTGCATTTGTTTGCCTTGTTTGAATTAATTAATATTAATTAAGCATGCAAATGACATTTTTTTTAATAAGATTACAAATATGGGGGATGGGGACTCGAACCCCAACTCTTGAGTTGAGGGGATGCACCTTACAAATCGATTTAAAATCATTGAGTCATGAAGTCCAGGTACACATGCAAATGACATTAATAATAGGACTGTAGTAAGAAGTATAATCACGTAGGATACGTTATTGGACATGTGATATCACATGTCTGTGGGTCCTTCTGATTAGTTGCCAATCAACCACTTGGGTTTTGTTTTTCATTAACTATGCTATAACTTCAAACCTACAGGCTGTATTAGGACTAATTAAGGAGTAGGTTCGTTTCTATGCATGATATAATTGAATTCTTCGTCAACACACATGGAAAATGAGAGAAAGTGAAGTTAAGAACAAATTAAGAACATGTCGCATCACGATAAATTAACTTCACCCTTCAATGCATGTTGGATTTCAATTCTTTTGACACATGGAAAGTGAGAAACAAAGTGAAGTTATTTCTTTATTTCTTGTCTGAACCGGACGGATAAACAGTAGGTAGGATAAGAGTATCTGTGGTTGGAAACCGCCCTGGAAAAGGGTACAGACAAATAATGTAACCTTAATTAGAAGTAGTAGAACCCAGTTTATATCTTCTAAATGTTGAGATTCGAAATCAATACCTAACATTTTGTCTGATCAGGACTCTAATCCTACAATTTTTTGTTTTGTTTAATATTCTGAGGGCCTTTATCCTCTCTGAAACACATTCTAAATTATTTTCTCCTTTAAGTTTAAACCATCAATTAACTCTTGAAACTGGGACGGAACCATTCAATCTGTCATATATGATGATCAGATTGTCTGAATCCAAAACTTTAATGTGAAAAGTGAAAAAGTAGGCATCTTTGTTCCTTGCCTGCCAAAAGCATTTTGAGAACATGGGAATTAGCATTTAGCACTATGATTAAATATGTAAACACTTTGCCATATTCATTAGATTAATTGACTTAAAGTTAGTCCTCCTCCCCTTTTTTTTGACAGCTAAAAGTAGTCCTTCCTTGAAGAGACCACCACGTGTGAATATTCAATTAGAATGCTAAAAAATAGGAGCGGCACTGTTTGACTTTTACGAGAAGAGACATGTTGAATTAAGCAAAGCATAATTGAAATCATCTTAATTTTAGTGGTTATACCTTCGAAATTAATCCATCAGAAAAACATGTAATTTGTAAGGCGCATTATGGAGTCATTTTCCTTCATCATTTTGGCTACTTATTTCAAACGAAAGAACAGAATACAATACCTGAATTTAGAACATAAGTTCCACATCTTAGAATTAGTTATAAGCAAGTTATAATTCTCTTACATATAACTTCAAATTACTACATGATTATTAGGTCAACAAAAACCCAGCAAAACTATAAAACCAATTGAACTTCACTGAATAAAAATAAAAAACAACGGTAGGTACACAACAATTACGTTGCATGGGTTGAATTTTGAAAAACAATTTTTGTATCTTAAATTTTTATAATCTAAGAAGAAAAAGGTGCTAATTCAGCTGGAGTAGCTCAGTTGGTTAGAGCGTGTGGCTGTTAACCACAAGGTCGAAGGTTCAAGCCCTTCCTCTAGCGATTCTATTTACACTACTTTTCCTGTTTGCATTTCAATCTGTTATGGATAACAAAATCAGTCAGGTCTACTTATTACTCCTATATCATAAAATCTGTTATGGACTGGAAGCATTATACATTTTCTGTAGATTTATTGTAGAATAAAATCATCTCCATTTTTTTAGCTGCACAACCTTTTTTTCTACTTACTTTAGGAAACATTTGTATAACACATTCATTACGAGAGAAAAATATTTCCTGGCCTGTTCTCTGTGCACATATCAAACATAACTCCGACCATTAATTTAATAATTGAATGCCGGTTGACAATCTTGGATAAAAAAAAATTTTCAAAATGCCAGGCCCATGTAAAGTGTGCTAGAAAGCATAAAAGCCAACTGGAAAAGCAGAATAGCCCAAAAAATTAAAAAAATAAAAAGAGAGATATAAGCAGACACTGTTGCAGATACAAATAACTACTTCCCAGTAGATTAGTAATATGGTTGACAGGAAAGGCCAGCGAGACCCAGAGATACTTATTGTTGGGCACACTGCACTCTTGGCATGGACGACTCATCATCATCACCATCTTCCTCATATACTTCCTTCTGCCGCTGCTGCTGTTGCTTCCGCCTAACCTCCTCCCTATTGACATCATGCAAAGTAGTCTCTTCGCATTCATCAACCTCCATGTCTGTTAAGTTCCTCTTTGGCTTTGGTGGTAAAATAGTCTCCAAAGTACGACATTGTTCAAGAGAAAGAATTCCAGAATCTGGGAAATTAACATTGAAATGGATGTATAGCCTTCCTTTCATGAAGGGTCTTTGATGGTGTGGCATTCCCTCATCATTGATAGCTTTGTATTGACCTGCAATGGAAAGGAAATAAGTTACTAGAGGATAACATGGGATGGGACAACAGTTTTGGGGAATGAAAAAAAAGGACATATAAAGAAAATGGAAAATCAACTAAGCAATAAATTCTACCAGGCTTAATGACCTCGCCAGGGCTTGATTTAATCAGAAGCTGCCTGCCATCTAGATGAGTTAGGGCGAACTGAAACCCACAGAGAGCCTCTGTCAAACTGAGGTTGTGTTTTACATGGAGGTCATCATACTTCCGCTCAAATCTGGGATGACTCTTCTCTTGCACTACAAAGATAATGTCTCCAGTACTAGTATCTGGCTGCAAAGATAAAATGATTGCTCAAAAAAGTTTTTCTTTTTTTGAAATATCTAGACATGGAATATCAGAAAGATATAACCTGACTCACACTGCCAGGCAAGAGAGAGTTCAGAATGGCCTGGTCAAAAATGCTTAAAACTAAAGGCCATTGAAAATTTACTTACTGCTTCATCAGCTTGTCCCTCAAACACAATTTTCTGGCCATTCTGCATCCCTTTCTCAACATGTACCTCCAGCACCTTCTTCTCTTGAATTACCTTGTTTCCCTTGCATTGTGTGCATCTATCTCTATCTCTGATAACCTCTCCTGAAATCGCAATGAATTAAGGGTGAAATCTAGGACAGCAAAATACGTCCCAAAGGATATAAAATAACCAATACACAAAAAAAAAAAAAGGGGCAGGGGAAATAAGTACCTGAGCCTCTACACTCAGGACAGACATGCTGCATCTGTTGGATCATGCCCAGTCCAATCTGTCTTGTTGTAATTTTCATTCCAGTCCCATGGCATCCATAACATCCACTAGGGGCTCCACTCTTTGAACCTTTACTGAAATAATGAATGCAGATAAACTTGCAAGTCAGTCACAGTGACAACGAAAGTTCTTTCTGTAACAGACTCACTGTGCTCTTTGATCAACAAGATTTTTCTTCTTCTTTTTTTTTTAAATCCATTTAATTGGGGAAACTGTGAGATTTTTTCAGAATAAAAACACCACACATTACGTGCACAGATGTCAGCATCTAAAACAGAAACATGAATCAGTAAAGATGAAGGAAGAAGAGAATCAATTTTGTCTCTCACACTTTTAGATATAGCTCAGAATGTCCAATTATGAGCCAGAAAGCACTGTACAACAATACTCCAAAGGATCCTTTAAGATTAACACAAGTAAATGGTCTAATGGGATGTGATAGAGGAGATACCCTTTACATTTGGGGCACAGAGCGTTTCTCGAAAGAGAGAGTTTCTTTGTTGTACCATTGTACAAGTCTTCGAGGGATGCTTTTACGGTATGCATGACATCTTCACCTTGCCTCTGTCTTCTTCCCCTTGAGCTAGTTCCACCTATTATTTTCAAAATACTTGAAATAAACAAATGCAATTGAACTTTGTACCTGAGCAAATTCAGAAAATCAAAGAGGAAAAAAGTTCAAAAAGCTGTTTCTCACCACCAAAGGCTCCTCCACCAAATCCTGCACTACCAAAGAATGTTTCAAATATATCGAAAGGATTGTGGGAAGGACCACCTCCTCCCATTCCCTCTTTGAGAGCATCCACACCATATTGATCATATATTTCTCTCTTCTCAGCATCGCTGAGAACTTCATAAGCTTCTCCCAATTCTTTAAACTGATAGAAAGTAACAGAAAATAATTATAAAATCGAGGAACAAATAAAACCACAGACAAAAATTAAAGACATGCCATGCCCTGCACAAGGACTTGCCTGCGTATTCTACCTATAATCAAACCTTGTCTCTTATAAGCAAATATAGAGAAGAATTTGAAGACTTGGTTTTTTCTGTTTACATTTCAGCAAATGTCAAGTCTATGGTCAAACAATCCAAGGGAGGAAAGCCACAACAGGATATTCATAAATAGACAAATGTCAAGATTGGTAGTCAGAAAGAATATCCCTTTGACATACATTTCAAGAAAATACAGTAACTTAACAACTCACTTTCTCTGGGTCTCCACCTTTGTCAGGGTGATTTTTCATAGCTGCCTTTCTATAAGCCTTCTTCAGTTCATCTTGACTTGCACTTTTTGAAACACCAAGAATCTCATAATACTTGGTGTTATCACTCTTCTTTGGAACACGACCAAACATGATTGAAGGAGTTCAATAACAATGCACAAAGTGATAGGTTGGCAACCCAGTAAGTGAACTCCAATAATCTAATGAATACAAGGAAAGTCCAACATAAGGAAAACGAAACGAAACAAAACATAGAAGCAATAATATATTCTAATATTCTATATCAAATAGAAAAGCCTCAAAAATATAATGCAGACAAACATCCACTTTTAATTATAAAACTGTTACCCCTGTGCCAAGTGATAAAAAATCTGACTTCCGAGGGCAATTACAGCCAAACACCTAAACAAAAACTCAGCCTATCCCCTAATACTTCACAGCGAAAAAGAAAACACAAACGACATCAAAATGCAATCTTTGATCTACTCACCAATCAACTCTGACAGACTTTAGTTTAGAGTTTGCAAAGCATCTACACAGGCTAAAAACAAAAATTCAGCACAAAGGTATGACCATCAGAGCATGATTCTTGTATGATAAAGCCAAACCCGGAATCGGTACCTCATCCATAATTCCTATGGTCCTTTAGATCAAAAGACAAGCTTATTCTACCTAAATTTCATCTCAAGCAATTGAAAATTTGAAGCATCCAACTCTCTTCACAAATAAGCCCCAAACTGATGTCTACATTCGGCAAAACGAAGAGCCTTCGCATGAAAATAACAACACAAGCAAATTAACCGATACACACAAACCCTAACCACACTTAAAAAAACGAAATCGAAAACCAGGACAGATTTAGCTGAAATCAGGTGCTTAAAAAAGCATAACAAAACAAAGAAACAAGGAAATATCGGAAGCGGGAAGTGGCCGGAAAAGATGCTTACGGTGGTCGATAGGGCGATGTTGTTTGGGAGAAAAGGAAAAGCTTGAGAGAGAAGTTCTTCCCTCAAGTCTCCTCGCACAGGACAGCGTTGTGGTGGTGGGGAACGGGAAAAACAAAGTCTTTTATAGTTTTACGTCCACACTAAGATTTTCCACGCTCGATGGCTTTTGGAGTGGAGACGCGGAAATGAGAAAGAGAAAAATGATTTAGGTATAATTTTTTTTTATATTTTTTATATATAATTTTTTATATTATTTAAATAATTAATTTTTTGATTATTTAAAATTTATAATATTAAATATATTTGTTTAATGACACATAAAATTTATGTAAAAAAATTATCAAATTTTGATTAAATGATATTA